CTTGTTTTGTTTTTAAGATTTTATTTATTTGAGAGAGAGAGATCACGAACAGGGGGGAGGGGTAGACGGAGAAGCAGGCTCCCTGCTGAGCAGGAGCAGGGAGCCCGATGCGGGGCTCAATCCCAGGACCTCGGGATCATGCCCTGAGCCCAAGGCAGACGCTTAACGACTGAGCCCCCCAGGTGCCCCCAAGGGTACTTTTCAAGAGCACGAGTCTGTCATTCCTTGCCTAGCATGCATCCCTCAAAGACTCCCTTCGTCTTCGGGACCTTTCACGAGAACTGGGTCCCAAGAGCTTGGTCCAGGAGGAATAAGGGTACGTAAAACCTGCAGAAAGCAGGGCCAGGCCCATAGCACCGCCTTCGCGTCCGACTTATACCCTCCCGGGCTTCGGAACCTTTCTTCCCGGCGCTGGGGGAAACTTTTCCAGAAGTACCTTCCGGCCTCGACGACCCTATTTCCCGTGCTGCACCGCGGCTTTCCTCTTTCTCTTTCTCTTCCGGTCCGAGGTGCTTCGGGAGCCGCGGTCTTCGGTGAGAATTGGCCGCGCGGTATCTGGAACCATCCGCGCCTCCTAGCCGGCGGCCGGACGCAAAACCGGGAAGGACAGAGAGGCCGGCTGCATGGCTCTGGGGAGCGGAGGGCGCGGGTGGTGCTTGTGGGTTCTCAAGGAGTGGATGGGAGAGGGAGAACTCGGATTTGGGGTAGAGCGCAGTCTGGTGAGGGCGGGTTGGTTCCAGGGCCCTCTTACCCGAGTTCGGGAGGCCGGGACCGGCGTGGGGTCGTGCTGAGTAAGTGGAGGCCGATGGAGGCTGCAGATGCGGGGCCCCTGTGCTGCAGCTTCATTCTGGCTTCTGGCCCCACGTCCTTCCAGATCAGGGCGGCAGTGAGAGGCCCAGCCAGCCTGGCGAGCCCCCAGCCCTGATCTCCACTCTCCTCCCCCAGGTGCAGACATGGCCAAGTCCAAGAACCACACCACGCACAACCAGTGTAAGTTCCCCCGGCCCCGCCTCCGTCTCACTTCAGACCCTGACAAGGATTGGGGACACTCTGGGCCTGGGGCTGGCTTTGTTTTCGGCCAGGATGACCTCCGGGTTATAGTTTTAAGAAGCCAGGGGTCCTTTTGAGATGCCCACAGTGCTTTCCATTCAGGGATAAGGGCTATTCCCTCTCTCGAGAAGACCTGCTCTGGGAAGTAATGGTTTTCCCAGGCTGGTCAGCCGTGATGTGTGGTCTTACTAGAGCAAGTCTCGTTTGGTCTAATACCTTTGCTTCCCTGCAGCACGAAAATGGCACAGAAATGGCATCAAGAAACCCCGGTCACAAAGATACGAATCTCTTAAGGGGGTGAGTGAGGAGGGTGTCCCTTTGGCCCCCGTTGCACAGCTAGAGCGTCTCCTGTATCTCTCTCCGGCTTCAGCATCTGCCTGAGCAGCGACTCCCGCGTCTTGGCCCGGACCACCAAAGCCCACAGTTTTTCTCTCCAGCCAGCTTTTGCCTGGACTTCACGTTCTGCCAAAGCCATAATAAACCTTTGCTTGGCTTTTCCCAGCCCAGATTGTAACTCCCTAGTCAGGTGTAACCTGCCTCGGGAGGGTAGTTTGACTGTCCCCCTTGCTTATCCAGAACACTTAAGGAGAGAAGTGGCCTTACCTTTGTGTACCAGGTACCCTCTGAGAGCCTTGCATTCCACCAGCCTGTGGCCTTGATCTGACCTCATGCAGGGCTTGGGGGCAGCTTTCCTTGCTGTGCCAAGGAGTTCTCAGCTGAGAAGGCTGAGGCTGGAGGGTCTAAGCAAGAGAACGGGGTCCTGTCTGTCCCCTGTGCCCTTGGTCTCTGGTCTGTGGAATGAACCATTAAATCTCTGAACTGCGGTTTCCCCATCTTGGTCTCTTTTTCAACCTCATTTGCTGTGTGTCTGTTGGACCAGGCTTGGTGCTTAACTGACACCTTCCTTTAAAGAGGTGGGGATGGCCCTGAGGGGTTTCAGGAAAACCTCAGCCCTGCAAGCCTGGCTGTTAGGGCAGCCTTCATTTGTTCTTTCCTTCTGCACTTGGCCTTTGAGCTCAGTTGGGCTCTGGGCATAAAGCCCTGAAAATACGGTCTGTATGTAGCATTAGCAGGGTGGAGTGGTGGCTTTGGGGGTTGTAGCACATGTTTCTCTGCAGGTGGTTTGTAAGGGGTGTGTATTTCAGCATTTAAGTTTGACTTGATGCTGTCTCTGCCCCCAGTAGTCTCCTGGTGCAGCTATGGAGAGGGCCACCAGCGGTGGCTTGGGGCCCCACATGCTGCACTTACAGCCTGTACCTTTCCTTGCCTTCCAGGTAGACCCCAAGTTCTTGAGGAACATGCGCTTTGCCAAGAAGCACAACAAGAAGGGCCTGAAGAAGATGCAGGCCAACAACGCCAAGGCCATGAGTGCACGTGCAGAGGCTATCAAGGCCCTCGTCAAGCCCAAGGAGGTCAAGCCCAAGATCCCAAAGGGCGGCAGCCGCAAGCTCAATCGACTTGCCTACATCGCTCACCCCAAGCTTGGGAAACGTGCTCGTGCCCGCATTGCCAAGGGTCTCCGGCTCTGCCGGCCAAAGGCCAAGGCCAAGGCTCAAACCAAGGCCCAGGCTGTGGCTCCGGCTCCGGCTCCGGCTCCAGCTCCTGCTGCAGCTCCGGCTCCCAAAGGTGCCCAGGCCCCCACAAAGGCTCCAGTGTAGAGGCTTGTGTCTGTCAGTGTGAGGACAGGACTGGTGTGACCCCAGGGCTTCTATCTGCACGGGGCTGGTGTCCTCCTTTGCTCTTTGTACAAATAAACCTGGGGCAGGCTCTGTCAGTTGGCCTGTGTCTGTGGTCCACAGACTGGGGTATGGGTGGGAGTCGGGGGAAATGGGGCCCTGGAGTACAAGAAAGGGACCTAGTGAAAGACATGGTGGAGAGCCTTAGGGAGGCTGGGGCACATAGCCTGCTGGATTGGTCAGTCTGGTGAGGAAGGAGAATTCCCAAATATCCTGATAAGTCTTGAAGTTTATCCCGGGGATAAAGAGAAGGACCCTGCTGAGTTCTGCACTCCGGCCTGAGGCGGTCCAGTGTACACAGCCAGCATCCATCACTCTGGGTTGTGCTGGGGGCCCCGGGATGCAGGGCAGTGGTGGCACTGCCTTATTGATACAGCTGGGCCAGATCTTACTGTGCCTCCTGGATCAGCTGCTTCCTCCTCTGCAAAGTTAGAGCAGCTAGTGAGGCAAGTGGTATAGTGGTCATAGGCATTGTGGAGGCTTTCTGTAGAAGCTGCTAAGCATGTCACCGTTCCTGGTCATGCAGTCTTTGAAACCAGTCTTGAGTATGGTTGTCGTTAACTTGTGGACCAACCTTGGCACTTGGGAGGTTCCAAAAGGGTTGCACTTCCTAGAGCACCTGGGTGGCTCAGTCGGTTAAGCATCCAGACTCTTGGTTTTGACTCTTGATTTCAGGCTCAGGTCATGATCTCAGGGTTGTGGGATCAAGCCCTGAGTTGGTCTCCGTGCTCAGGAGGGAGTTTGCTTCTCTCTCTCCCTCTGCCCCTCGCCACTCCCTCCACATGGCATGCGCGCACACACGCTTGCTCTCAAATCTTAAAGAGGCAACAGGTACATCCCATGATAAATGGTCCCTCTTCCTCTGAAGTAGGTATTCTCTTTGTTTCACAGGGAAGGAAATTTGTTTGAGATCATGGAGCTCTGGCATGTAAGTAGCATTGGGATCCAGGCAGCCCATGCAGGACCCCAGAAAGTTTGCCCAACCAGGGCTGGGCTGCTAGCTCATGACTTTCATCTTGGCATGCTCTGGGGGGCCAACTGCCCATTACCAGGGGGTGTCAGATAGATGGGGTCTTGAAAGGGACCAGGAACAGGTTTTATGTCCTGAAGGTACTTTGGCCCAGCCTGAGGTCATCAGGTCAGGTGGCTTCCAGTGAGGCTTGTGTTCTAGGCCAGGACAGGGCGTGAAGACTCCTTTCCCATCATCCTGCTGTAGTCTGAAGGGGGAGGCCAGACCCCAGGTCAGGGGCTTCAAATAGGCTTACTTAAGGTCACAACCAGGTTGCTGTCAGCCTCCAGCTCCCACCCAGAGCCTCCCCTGTGTCCCTAGTTTTTGAGTCTCAAATCTTGACTCCCATTACCTACAAGCTATGTGGTTTTGGGCAAGCTATTCTAGCAGAGCTGCTAAAGGGGCTCAGTGAAACCTGCATCCAGGGGCTGCTGGGAGGGCTCAAAGCAGATAGAGCTGGCCAAAGTCCTGGCTCCTTGGCAGAATTGCACGAGCAGGGGTTAGTACTATCAGGACTAAGCCTGCAGGCCACAGAACCAGGCTGTGGACTTCCCTCTGGCCACAAGAACTTCAAAACCCAGCCCTCCCTGTCTCTCACCCCATGCCTGTGGAGGTCCAAACAGGACTAGATCAGATGAGCTAGAGGAGCAAGCTCAGCAATCAGGCCATAGTGACTCTCGGTCCTGCCTGGAGCCCCCTACCTAGCAGGGCTGATAGACTGAAGCCTCACTCAGCACACACTGATCCCTGCCCAGGGTGTAGGGACCCTAAGATGAACATGCTAGCAGCCATGGCTTGCAAGCTCTCCTACCTGCCCCACATCTGGCATGGCCCAGCTGGCCTCTAGCTGTAGTCCTGTCTCAGGATCCTGAGTGTGTTCCCAGAAAGCCAGAAGTGTTTCCCTGAGATCTTTGCTTTGGTTTCCTCCTCAGAGTGGTGTCCCCGACCTTATAAGTCAGATAAAGGCTTAGTGGCCACTGAGAAGAGGAACTATGGTCCCTCGGCGCTGGGCACAGACATGGCTGGGTGGTACTGGATGAGTGTGCTGTGTCGAGAGACACAGAGCAGCATGGGGTAGTGGGAGGCACCCAGAGCCGGGCTCAGTTTTCTCATCTGTGAAACGGGGGTGGGAATTGCATGTCCCCAGAGAAATGACAGAATCCCTGCTCCATGAACGTCCTTGCTCTTAGTACTTCAGAACTGGCCTCTGTCCACACGCAGACTTTATTGTTGGGCGGGGGGGCAGAGGGGTCCTTGACACTGGTCCGGTGGACGCTCCTGGGACTCAGCCGTCACTGGGCAGGGCAGGCACACTGGCCAGGGCAGGCAGCAGCCGCGTGTATATGTCAATCCCACGGAGGAACACGGCCTCATGCAGCCGCTCATCGTGGTCGTGCAGCAGCACAGGTGTGCGGTTCATGGGTGAGAAGCCCAGCGCGGGGACCCCCACCTGCAGGGGACAAGGAGAAGCCATCAGGAGGAAAGCCAGCAACCAGGACCGCCCACCCCCTGCCCACCCACTGCCAGCAGCTCACCACACGGAGGTAGCGGCTATCCGTGGCGGCAGGGAAGATCTCTGGCTCCAGCGTGAGGTTCCTGCGGAGGCAAAAGCCTGGTGAATGAGGAGGCAGGGAGGGGAGAGCACAAGGGGAGCATGGAAAGGGTGAAGGAAGATGGAAGGGAGGCAGGAGGAGAGAGGAAAGGGGAAGAGAAGGCAGGCCAGGGTGCTCACATGTCCTTGCAGACCCCGCTAAATGCTGCCCACCAGGGGTCTGAGTCATCAATAGATGTCATTCGGGACTCCGTCCACTTCTGGAAGGAGGGGAAGGGTAGCAGGAGCACGACAGGGCCTGGACAGCTTGCCCTATCCTTCACAGCCCTGTCAGTGCCCGGCATAGGCACACACCCATTCCCCCCACCCGCCACCCCGGCTTCCACCCACCTACCCAGAGAGCCAGCTGGCCAGTCCAGCCACAGGCCCTCTTTCAGTCCCTTACAGGCCACAGGTCTGGGACTTCGCCCTGCCCTTCGTCTACTTACTTCCTGTCCAGCTTTCGCATCCTAGGCCTCTTCCTCAAAATGGCTCTCCCAGACCTCTCAGACTGGCCAACTACTTGTTACAGGTTCTCAGAGTACAGGGTCCCACCTTTTCCTGAACCAAGTGTGTTCATACTTATATAAAAGTAATATTATATTAATGTTTAATTCAGGTCTATTTGCCTCTTCATGCCGTAAGGACTATGAGGCCATGAACTGTGTCTCACTTTACTCCTACGGTATCCCCAGCACCCAACAGTGGCCTCCACAACGAATGCCTGTTGGTGAACAAAATGTGTCCCTTGTAGCTAAAGAAATGTCCAGACGTATGCAGGTACACTGAGCACCCACTGCCATGATGGCACACACCCAGCAAGCCCAGTCTCCCCTGCTCCCACAGCTCCCGACCGTAGGTCCCGGCTGATACCTGAGCAAACTCAAAGGTGACCCCCTCACCAGCTGCCCGGCACCAGCCCTGCAGCTGCTCCTCGAAAGCCTGTGAGAAGGGAGATGAGCTGACCTCTCAGGCTCTCCCTGAGCCTCCAGCCTAGGACTGAGAAGCCGGCTCCCTGCCCCAAACCCAGGTGGAGCTGGCACCTTCAGGTCCACATCCGGTGCCACACGGAAGTCAAAGCTGGCGCTCATAGTAGCAGGTACCACGTTATAAGCCACGCCGCCCTCTAACTTGGTCAGGTTCACGGAGGTCACAGCCCCTGCCTTCAGGTGGGGGTTTGACTGCAGCCTGCGGTGGGGGGACGGGGCAGGGGCAGCAGGGGGAGCAACAGATAAAGAGCCTCCCTTCTCTCTCGCAGGGCTGGCCGCCCAGACCCCCATCCTCTTTCCCAGGCTGCCTCACCTCTGCCGCTCCTTCTCCCGGAAAGCCAGGACTGAGCTCACCACCTTGTGCTAGGAGAGTGCGAGGTCGGATGTGAGAGTGGCCCCAGGCTAGAGCCTCAGGAATTCCCAAACTCCCTCCCCGCGTGCCACGCACCAGCTTCTCCGCTGCTGTGTCCTCGATGAAGCATGAGCTGTGGCCTGGCTTCCCGGTGCTCGAGACCCGCACCCCTGGGAGAAGAGGGAGAAGGGGGTGTCTTCAGCATGGGAGGGGCTGGAAAAGTGATCAGCCTGGGGGTGGGCCCCGGTCTTTGCCTCATCCCAAGCTCCTCCAGCAGGGTGGTCTCCCTTAGAACGCACGGTGGAGAGCTGGTTTCTGCCCATGGAGGGCTACCCTCAGAAGCTCAGGAAGGAGAAGCCCAGGTAGGAAGGGGCTGGGAGGCAGAGGCTCTGGGTTCAAGGCCTACTCGGGCCCCGACCTGCTGCATGACTCTTCGTAGGCTGCCCCTTCTGGCTTAGCACCCCACCACACAGTGACACCCTCCCTCCAAGCCCATACTCACACCAGGGGCTCCGCTCACTGTAAAAGACAGTGAAGGCATCAGTGGGGTTGGCCAGGCCTGGGGAGGGAAAAGGGATTCAGAGGGTAGAGTGGCCCAGCCACTAGCAGCCTCCATATCCCCTACTGGCCGCTCAGGGGCCTGCCACCCTGCTCACCTTCATCCAGGGCGAAGCCAGCCCTCAGGGCCTGGAACTCGGGCCGCTGCACAAACAGCTCCATGCCTTGGTGACCTCCAACCTCCTCATCTGTAAAAGCAGCAGGGACATGAGATGAAGGAGCTGCCCCTGCCACCATATCCTCCTGCTCCCTGAAAGTGTCCCTCCCCAAGCCACTCCTACCTGGCACAAAGGTCATGTGGATGGTTCTGGGGAAATGGTGGCCCTCAGCCTTCAGCCTCCTCACAGCCTCCAGGTACCTGAGGGGCAATGACAGGGTGTAAGCCAGGGCTCGGGGAGCCACCAGATGCTTGGGCGGGCAGGCTGGAGCCCTGGGCCCCTGCGGCCTGTTCTGCCACAGCCTGGCAGGGGACTCTGGGAAGTCTCTGTCCTTCACTCTACCATGTAATGGTGCTAATTGCTGTCCGAGATAAGGGGGTCAAGATGTTCCTTGGCCTTGAGGTTCTCCAATCACACCCACCCCAGGCCCTGGGTCAATTCAATGGGTCAGTAGGGACATTGTGGGGGACAGGAAATGGAGGACACTCACTGGATGCTGACACACTTCATGTCCTGGGCACCCCTGGCATAGATGTAGCCCTCAGCATCCTTGAAGGCCTCAAAGGGGTCATGACTCCAGTGTTCCTGGGGCAGAGATGAGAAGAGGGACCCAAGCCCCAAATTTAGTCATTAATCTACTCTGCCCTGCCCTAGAAGCCTACCCTAGGGTGGGGGTCACAAGTGGGGTGGTGAAGAGGGCTGAAGAGGGCAGCTGACTGCAATCCCTCATCTCTGCTCCCACCTCCACCCCCACCCTGGGCACAGAATGGACCACCGGGCAAAGGCTGCTTAAACGGAGTAGTGTCCTAAGAGATCGGGAGTCAGTTTCAGGACAAGCCCCCGAGGCTCCCTGGGGTCCCATGGGGGGGTCTGCATCATCTTTGTGTACCCCAAGGCCTGCACCGATCCCTGCGCCCCACACACCTTGAAGACAGGCACCACATCAGTGTGGGAGTTGAGTAAGATGGAGGAGAGTCTGGGGTTGGTGCCTGGCCACGTCAGAATGGTCACCACATGGCCAGGTGCCACCTGGAGAGGACCAGGAGGTGAGGAGGGGCCCCGGGGCCACCTCCCCTCCCCATGCCAGGCCCCAGGCTCACCTCCACTTTCTGACAGCCCAGGCCCAGCTGGCGGGCTCTCTCTTCAAGGAAGGCCACGGCAGCGCCTGGGGACACGGAGAGTCTTGGGGCTGCTTCTGCCTACCCACCTGTCCCACTGGCCCAGGCAGAGCTGGGGGTACATCCAGAGAGGGAAGCCAACCCCGAAAGGGGCTGCTGCCTCCTCGGTGCAATTCCACATTGCTCGAGGACCCCTGCATTTCTGTCTCCAAGGAAGAATGTATCTTTGGCCAGTCAGTGACCCTTTGTGGAAGGTCAGGTGGGAAGTCCATAGTTAGAAACAGGAGTGATGGCTCTCTTCCTTAGGGATGGGAAAACTGGTGCAGCGGCATGAGATTCACCTGATGTCTCCCAGCTGGTAAATCAGGGCAGGGGTTTGCACCCATGTCCACCATTCCCAGCCACCAAGGCTGAGTCCCTAAGGGCTGTGGTCTTTGTCCTGCCCCAGTAGGCTTCTGGAGCTTCTTCCTTGAGGCTGTCTGGTCTCCCCTCCCCCTCCTCAAACCCCGGGGCAGTGAGGTGAAGTTGTTCCTTAACCAGCCGCCAGAAGTAACTCTGGGTGCAACACAGCCTGGAGGGGCTGCTGAGCAGTCGGCTGGCCTGGGGAATGGCTAGAGGCGTGGAGGTGCCAGTTGGGGCAGCAGAGTGGGGCTCAGCTGGGTGGCAGTGGTTGGAGTCTGGTGTAGAGCAGTCCCCGCCCCGGGACCCCACCGCAGGCCCTGGAACGGCCGCGTTCTCACCGTAGTCGGGCTTGGGCTGGACGGTGCGGATGCGCAGGTACTGGCGGAAGAGTGTCACGGACGGGTGCTCGCCCTCGCGACCCTCGCTGGCCATGGCGCTGCGCGTGGTGATCTAGGGGCAAAGCGAGTGGCTACCTACCCCTCCCAGCTGCTGAGGCCCAGTGGTGTCCACCTACCCACGGCCCTTCCCCAGGGCGGTTCCCCGTACGTCCCACAGGGAGAAGACACCCCGTTTCGGAGCCCCCATTCTGTTTCAGGAGCTGTGCTGGCCGCTTTCAACACATTTCCGTATTGAATCGGCCAAAAAGCCCCAGGAAGTTCGTGCCTCTGTATGCCTACTTTCCAGAGGAGAAAGCTGAGGCTGAGAGGTTCAGCGACAGCTAGAGAGTAGGGGAGCCCGGTCTGAACACTGACACTGACTCTCCCTACCCTCCTCAAAAAAATTCTCCCAACTGCCCGGATTTTATGCCATGTAACCCCAGATCCCTTTACCCTCTCCGGGGTCCCACCTCGCTCTCCGCTGGTCTTGGGCCCGCGCTTGCCTCTCAGCGCCCGCCCCGGACTATGGCCAGGGCTCAGGGGTCCTGCGAGGTCGAGGGCTCAGAACCGCCCCGGTCCGCCCACCACGTGGCCGGACCGGATCGCGGGGCGGGGCCGAAGACTGCGAGTTAGGGCCACCCATCGTCTCTGCTGCGGCGACGGCGAGGGCGTCTCCGCCCGCCCCAGGTTCCAGCCTCCTCTCGGGTTACGGGATCCCTCTCCCGCGCAGCCACCGCCGCCGCCTGCTCCGCCCCGGCGGCGGGCCCCGCCCCCGGGCCCCGCCCCCGCAGCCCGGGTCCCGCTCCGCAGGCCCCGCCCCGCAGGCCTGGGCTGAGAGCTCCGGGTGGTCCCGCCCCCCGGAGGGCTCTACCTCCTGCAACCTCCAGATTGGGCGGGAAGAGAGGAGAGCAGACCCTTGACACGAGAGGCTGCGTCTGCCCCCTCGGGCGCCCTTCACTCTTGGGGTACAGCGCTGCAGAGTCCTGCCAGAGCTGGCCCCTGCCTGCTCCCCCACCCCCTCCCGCGCGTCTCTGACTTCTCCCCTTTCCGTGTCTCAGCTCCTCAGGGAGGTCCTCCCTGACCGCCTCAGACCCCCGTGTGGAGGTTATTGGTCAATATCTGTCCCCTCAGACTGCAAGTTCTAGGAGGCTGGCTGGTCCCCGTACCCACAGGATACTGTCGCTGGCGGGGCACAGATTGGTGTCAGAGCGGACGCCTGGACACATGCCAGGAGCAGAGGATAAACGGGCAGAGGGGCACATGGCGACTTCGTGTGAGATCGTGCAAATGTGCCGCTGTGGGAGCTAATCCAACAGTGTGTCTCAGCGTGTATGACCGCGCGTGTGACAAGTGTGAGATGGTGGCCGGGTGTGGCAGCGTCTGCATGACAGAGGATGTCACGGTGAAGGTCACCATGAGGCTGTATGACCGTGTCGGGGGGGGGGGGATGGCACAAAAGCACACATGTGGCATACTCTTGGCTGACCCTGTGCCAGGCTCCCTGGCTCTCCCGCGGCCACCGGAGAGGGGGGGATAAAGAGGCACAGGTGTCCCACTGGCCACCCCCAGGCTGCACACGGTTGTAGCTGCCCACTTGTGTGCCTGGTTGCCCTTTGTACTCTCAGCCAGTTCTGCCCCCTGCTACAGGGGCTGAGTCGGCGTGGTGAGAAGCAGAGCTGAAAACTTCAACCTCTGTGCCCAGAGGAGGCAGGCTGGGAGGGGAGGGTAAGGCGGGGGGGTTCGTCCCACCCTCCTGGGGTTTAAGTCTGGTCTGCTTGCTGACCCATACATACCAGGGGCAAGCAGGCTTGGCAGTTCACCACCAATGCTATGTTAATTGCTAAATCACATTCCCCACTTCCGTCCCTATACATCCTGCTCCCTTCGGCCATAGGTCCTGCATTCCTGACTCACTGGCTCAACTGCCAGACCCTGGATTTCCCACCAACCCCAGTGGTCACACAGCAGTAGTAACACCCGCTCGCCCTGACCCCCCTCAAGTCCTGTGAGGCCAAGTGCTGAGTCAATTCTAAAACCACATTTTGAGCCAGGTATTACCATCATGCACATTTTACAGGTGAGGAAACTGAGTCACAGAGTGGTGAGGGCAGCCAGCTAGGAAGTAGACCATCCCAGGCTGCTGAAGCCTCCCTCCAGCTCCCAGCCCCAAAGCAGCCCCGGACTTGCCTCTCACTCCTACCCCACCTGCTGCAACGCCAGGAAACAGGACCTGCCACTCCCCTGGCATGACAAAAAAATGTGTTTTTTTTATTGTGCCTGTGAGATGAAATGAGAGGTCCCGACTGGGCCTGGCCCTCTGGCCTCCACCCTCCAATCCCAGGGGCTGCCTCCCTGGTAGGGCACTGGTCCAGACTCTCCAAGCTCAGGCCAGGCCTGGGGCCTGGTCAGTGGGTGAACTCAAGGCAGGTGGTCAAGGAAGGCAAGGAGGACAAGGTGGAAGTCTTGCGGCTTGTGGAGGTAGCAGGCGTGGCCTGCATCACGCAGCTTCACCACAGAGTGGTTGGGCAGGTGGCGGAGCTGCCGCAGCGACTCCCGAGCCAGGATACGGTCCAGCTCCCCATACAGGATGAGAGTCGGGGTCTGCAGAGCAAGGCAAGGGGCTGTGACCCTGGGGTCTGACGGGGACTGACCCTCTAGCTACCTCCTTAGGACATCTTTCCCAAACACCCCATCTCTTTCTATCCAGATGAGGCCATGCGTCCTCCAAGTGAGACCTGAGTCCTTTCCCCCCATGACTCAAGCCAGGGATAGGAAGCTGGACCTTTGGAAACCATCCATCCAGTACCTTCACGGCCCAGAATTGTTCCTGGGTGTAGTTCTGGGTGGAGGCGGGTGCAATGGGCACAAATCCACGCAGGTGGTGGTGGCCTCGGATCAAGAAGGGCAGGGCGTAGCGGCCACTCAGAGAGGGGCTCACCAATACGGCATTGTGCACCTCCAGGTCTCGCAGCACTCGCTCCAGCAGTTCCGCCCGCCCTGCCTCTGTGCTTGCCTCCTTGGAAGGTGCCGAGTTCCCAAAACCTGGGAACAGCAGGAGGCACCAGCTGAGGGAGGCTGGAAAGGAACCCAGGACATCCTGCCCCCCACAGTGGGGGAAATAGCAGAGGCACATGGCAGCGCTACCCCCAAACTTCCCAGAAGCTCTTTTTTGTAATGGGATAGGTCTGCTAGAAAAGCATCTTTCATTCATTAGAGTGGCAAAACTAAAAAGATTGACAATATACAGTGTTGGGGAAGATGTGGGGAAATGGGCACTTTCATCCATGACTGATGGGAGTATAAATCCATGTAGGATTTTTGGAGGGTAAGGCAATATTTGTCAACACTTAAAAAATGTGCATCCTTTGACCCATCAATTATCCTTGGTAGCTACCCTACAGAAATTATTGCCTCCACGCTCAAAGAAACATGTCCAAAGTTGCTTCAGCTTCATACCTCAAGCATTTCCACAGATGCTGAAAACTCAACTTACATATCCATCAGTGGAGGAACGGGCAGATCAAACCTGTCCATCCTTCTGATGGCACACAGTGCAGAGAGAGGGAGATTCATATTGACTGGCCCGCTCTATGAGAGGTGGTGTAGGGGGAGAAAAACCAAGCTGCAGAGAGATCTGCTAAGCAGACGGGACACCAGTCATGTTTCTAACCTCACCACACAATCCTGCGTATTGTCTGTCTTTCTATATATGGAAATGCCCCGAGGGGGTTGGGCACCCCCAAACTGCTGGGAGAGAAATGCGGCACGGGTCTCTGAGGGCGTCATTCTCGCTTGAGTTTTAAAGACAAGAATGATAGCATAAATCATTCGCATAGCTACAAAACCGAAAAGCTACCTAGTTTGTCATAAAATGACCAGTGAGATCTCTCTGTGCAAGCACTTGTGGAAGTGAGTCACGTTTCTATTTGCTATGTGACATGCAACAGTCCACATTCCAGTTTTCAAGGCAGAAAATAAAGACACAGACCTTTTAGTATTGCCATCTTGTGTTGCGACCTACCATGGCTTGTCCAGACATTGAGGTCCAAATCCGCCCCCCCAACCCAGCCATACCTTAAAGCTTTTCTCCCCTCCACGTCCTCCCCTGGGAAGCTGCCCCTTGTACCTGCTGAATGTTGCCTCCCTAGACCCTGGAGTGGGGGCTCTCACCTGGGAGGTCAAGGGCCACGGCCCGGTAGCCCCTCTGCGCCAGCAGCTGCAGTGTGCCCAGCTGCTCCCACGTGTGGGAGTTAAAGGCCTTTCCGTGGAGTAGCACCACCTCCACCCTGTGGGCACACAGGGGAGTGTGTGTCCTTGGGGTCTGGAAGTGGCCCGCCATTCTTTCTTTCCAGGCTTCTCCCACTGCCCTCCCAGGCCCTGAGCACCCTGAGTTGAGCTGGGGTCCCACACAGGGACTCTCCTTGGACCTAGGCCTTCCACTGCACCCTGAGGTCAGCACCCACCTGTGTGCCCGGTGGAGCGGCAGCACCTCGCGGTAAAAGATGGGGGAGTTGCCAGGGGTGAGACCAGCCAGGACTGTGACATTGGGGCCTCCCCAGAGCCAGGAGGTCTGCTCAGGGGGGCCTGGCAGCCCCACGTACAGTAGCAGCATGAGCAGCAGGCCCAGGCCCAGCAGGGCTACCTGGGACCGGCTCATGGAGGTCTGCACCACAGTCTGGAGGAGAGGAGAGGAAGAAGAGCCTGGGGCTGTGTCCCCACCAGGTCCCCTGGACCCCATCCCCAACCCCCCCCCCAGAAGCCCCCAGCAGAGGAACAACTCAGCCCTTGCTCTTTCTCCTGCTCTGAGCAGGGTTCACATCCAACTGCTCCACACATGCTGGGGCAGGGGCTCAGATACCCTGCAGCCTGAGAAGGAGCATCTGAGATGTCCCTGGAAACACAGCATGCTCAATGACCACCATCATCATTGTGCCAGCTAAAACCGCTTCCGTTCATCAGGTGCTTATGAGAGCCAGATCCTGTGTCTGGCCCTTCACATACGAGGGCTCACGAATCCACACAGGAACACTGGGGAGCAGATATGATTAGAGTTCTCTTACAGATGAGGAACAGGCTCAGAGAGGTAAATTCTTTTGCCCAAAATGCAGAATAGCAAGTAAAGGAACTGGGATTTGAACCCAGAGCTGGGCTGCTAACCACCAGGCTACGCTGAGCTTGCCAAGGAAGAAACCATGGGGCTGGGAGGTGAGGGACGAACTGGAGCCTTGCTGGTGGACAGAGTAGTGAGAATCATCAAAAGTGAAAGACTATGTGTAAAGCCTCATCCCACTGACAGCATGTTTGGAAATGGTTCTTCTTTTTTAATCACATTGCATGTAAGAGTGCTCAAATCAGAATGTGTTTTCCAATTGATGGAAATATTCAGTGCTCTATCTCAGCTGATATTAAGTGGGAGGAGGGTTCGTGGAGAGTATCTGGGATGGAGAAAGCCTGAGGGGAATGAATGGGGCCAGGGAGGGGCATGGTACACCTAGAAATGGAGGTTGGAGAGATGAATGCTCGCCCCACCCCCTCAGCTTCATGACCTGCTTCATGGACTCCTGTAGTCTGGGTCCTTTGCCTGTCCAGACAACAGACATCAGGACCCAGGACCCAGTTAGCCCTGGCTTTGAGACTCTGCTTTGCCACTTCCTGGCTGTGTGTCTTCAGCTTGTCAGTAAAATGGGGAAAAGGATCACTTTGCATCAGCCCTCTCAAGTTTCCTGTGGTATTTCAGGAATACAGTGGACTTGACCCAGGGCTCTCCTGTGATTTCTTGGGCCTAGAATGAGTACACCTGCCTTATTCCCAGATTCCAGTAAACACATCTTTATGGAGTGCCAACTGGGGTGCTGGCCCAGCTGGAAACCCATACTGGGCACCACCCTCCTTTCCTGGGAGCTTTGGGGATGTTTCCCGAGCCCCCACCCCCAGGTTCCCAGTCCTGGGGTGGGTGGGCGGTGGCAGCCCCTCTGGTGCTGATGGAGAGCCAGGAGCTGAATGGAGGAAGAGGCCGCTCTTCTCTTCCTTCTGACCACGAACAGCAACCTCCCACTGGGCATGAGCCTAGGCTCCCAACAGTGGGAGAATCCCTGCGGACTTCTCCTTATGGGGAGCCTGCTGCAAGGGAGAGGCGGGACTTTGGCCGTTGCCTTGGCAACCTGGGCAGCTGGCGCACTAGACCACGGTGGTGGGCAGCTAGCCAGCAACCCAGCATTCGCTACAGATACCAGAGAAGGCGTGCGGTCAGGGAAGCTGTACCCAACTTAGGTCCTTGGCATACGTGTGGACAATGACACACAGGTGTACACACGTGCACACAAACATCGAGTCTTGTCCCCACATACTTTTCTTCTGCACAAGCTATTCCTGGCACGGCGGGTACAGGCAGCCCTGCTTGGCCTGTGAGCAACGGATCCCTTGAAATACATACCCTCAAAATCAGGCAGTCAGCCATCAGGAAGGCAGACGGACAGACACATACACGCTTTCAAAATCATGCTGACCCTCAAATTTCCAGCACACAGTCATATACACAATCCTAAAACACACATGTACAGGCAAAAAGACACACATAATAGCCTCAGAAATACACACGCACAGGTAGATACACACCCTCAAAATCACATGTACACAGAAATACACATAGCATACAGACACAAGCGTACAGACAGACCGACACCCCCCCCAACGTAGGCGTGTAGAAACAGACAGACAGCACATCGACACACATCCAGACCCCGCAGAACGCACGCAAACGCCTGAGCGCACACACAACACACCAACACAAGCACACTCGCGCCTAGCCATTCCCACGGGACTCTGCCCCAGGGCTCCGCGGGCAAGGGGCGGAGCCAGGATGGCCCGCCCCCGCGCACCCTGCAGTCTTCACTCCCCGGGGACACTCACCGGGCCGACCGGCATGACCAGGCCGGACACCCCAGGGCGGGCCCCGCCCACACGGAACCAGCAGCCAAACAGCGCCGCGACCATTGCGCTGCCTCCGCCGCTCTGCAGGCTGCTGCGGGGACTAGGCGGCGGGGCGCGCAGCCAAGGAGGCGCGCTTGCGCAGTCCGCAGTCGCAGGCCCCGCGCCTCCTAAACCCACGCAGGGGGTGCTCCAGGCGGCGCCCGGAAAGCACGTAGGCCCGGCCCACTAACCAGATTTTCCGGATTGTTCTCAGCCCGAAGGCCAGGGGAGAGCCACTGGCTTCTCCCCACCAGACCATCTCTGCGGTGGGTCAGTCCCTCGTCTGTACAGAGGGTTAAGGATAAGGAGTGTCTTAAGGACCACAAAAGATGGGTCAAGGCTTAGCACAGTGTCTGGAGAGGAGGCGTCGCTGTTTAATGTCAGATATTATTGTCACTTGGCAACTCCAGGTCTCAGTCCAACCGCTTCCCCAACCCCTACAAATACACAGGCGCACACACTCAGTCACAGCCCAGGGTGGCCTGTGCCTCTTTCACTGCTCTTTTTGGCACCTATCCTGGTCGGCGATGTGTGGCCAAGGCCAGGCGTGGCAGCTAGGCTGGGTACAGGAAGGCAGCGCAGGGCACGCAGGACCCCTCTGTTACAGACACCCTGCCAAATAGGCAACATCACACCCATTCTACAGGCCAGGAAATAGGCTCGGAGACGCTGTGAAAACGGTCGAGGTCACCTGGCTGGACTTTGGCAGAACCTCGCACTTAAAGCTGTCTGGCTTCACTGCGTGCCTGTGCACAACCCTGGGCCTGGGCAGGGTGGGGAGGAGGAGGGAGCAGCAGGAATGAGACCCCACGAACCCTTCTCCGCAAGCCGCATCATGTGCATCTGGGGCGGCCTGCTGCGGCCGCACGCAGTCGGGTGCTTGGAGCACATGGGGCCGAGGGGCTTGGGGAAACCGAGGCCGCTGTGACAAGAAAGATCTAGCTGCAGTGACTGGCCCTGCGACGGCTTGCGGCCACAAGAGGGCGTTCCGTAGCACGGCCTGGTCTCCGCCCTCGGCCGGGCCACTTCCCCGCTTCCCTGCCCCGGACCCCAGACGCCGCCAGCACTCGCCTGCCTCTTATCTGCGAGAGCCTACGCAGCTCCCCAGGTACCGGCCCTGCACCCCCCGACCCTCTCGTCTTCTGTCCAGTGAGATCCCACCCCCCCCCAGCCCAAGTTCCCCCCCCCCCCCTCTCGGCCCCCCAGGCCCCCTTCTCGGGTCCCCCCCCCCCCCCCCCGCCACTTTCCGCGTGCGCCTTACCGGGCCCAGCGAGCCAGAACCGAGGTCGGCGGAGGGGACCGAGCGAGCCGCCGGGGCGCCGATGACCGTGCGTCAGAGCGTTGGGCCCCAGCGGGCAGCGCGCTGGGTACTCCGCATTCCTTGAGGGCCGGAACTCCAAAGCCTTTCCCAGCTCTGCGTTCCGGCTTCCGCCTCCGGGAAATGGGTTTTTTAACTACAATCCCGACCCCCTCCGGCCTGCGGGGCCAACCTACAAACTGTAACAGTGCCTTGAAGAGAAAGGTCGATAAGCAAAAGAGCTACGTACTGTCGACGGAGCACTTACTATGCTCACTATGTGCTAGGTGCGGTGTCCAGCGTGGTACATGCGTGAGCTCATTTAATCCCATCCACCACCTAGGAGCTGAGTACTATTGTATTATCCCCATTTGTAGAAAAGAAGAATTAACAGTGAGGATGATAATCATAATGGGAGCTGCATGTATTGAGTTCTAAGGGCAGGCACCCTCACTTGTCAATTCTTTTTTTTTTTAACTCATTAATTCTTGAGGTAGGTTTTATTGCCCCTTATTTCAGAAGAGGAAACTGAGGCCCAGTGCCATACAGTTGAGTGGCAGAGGCATAAGTAACACCTCTGCCTTCCTCATCTGAAAGCACGTGGAGAGTTCCGGTAGCCTCCTGGAGGCCTCCTTGCTGCTCCCGGAGGGACCCCTGCCCTCTCTGTGGCAGCCTCCCTGTCCCATCTGGGCAGGGGGTTCTGTGGCTCCTTATCAGTCTGGCCTTGAACCACAGGTGCTGCACCAGTACAGCAGCAGGGATGGCAGAAGTGGAGCTTCATGAGGGCACCATCCAGGTGCAGCGCCAGAGCCTCTTCTTCCGAGAGGCTCGGCCAGGCGGTGGGCAGGCTGCCTGCTTCTCAGTTCTGCTGTTGCATGGCATCCGCTTCTCCTCCGAGACCTGGCAGAACCTGGGCACGCTGCACAGGCTGGCTCAGGCTGGCTACCGGGCTGTGGCCATGGACCTGCCAGGTACTTCCGGGGCAGGCTTCTGGACTGGGGTTGTGGGGGCCTCACTGGGGGACAGGGCGCTGGGGCACTGGGAGGACCTAGCCAGGCTAGGCGCCTCCAAGCTTGACAGGGTGCAGTACCCTCGGCAAGGGCCTTCCAGTTTCTCTGGTCTCAATCTGGATGTGGTCTGGACACTGTCCAGCTGCTTCTAACCAGGTTGCCCAGGGCGGTGTCTCAGTGCCTCTGAGCCTCTGTTTCCTCATCTGTGAAGGGAGATGCAGATTTTGGGGGTTAGCTCTAGTGAGAATGGACTGAGATAATGTGCATATGTGGCCCGTACCCAACACCTAAGAATTGGTGCTCAGACAAGTGGAATTAAAATCTTTTGACAGAGCCATGACCATAGGCTGTGTTGGAAGCCCTAAGGAGTGAGACAGTCTCCTGACACATGTGGGGGCGGGGCAGGGCCTGGTGGGTGGCTGAGCCCGCAGTCATGATCCCAGGTACAAAGCCTACAAAGCCCTGAACTGGGTTCTGGAGTAGGGGAGGGGCAGCCCCAGCCCAGACTGGTAGTCCCCAACCCATGGAGCCAAGTATGACCCTATAACTGACCTGCTACCCCTCACAGGCCATGGCTGACATGGTTTCAGTGCCCAAGTGTGGGCCTCCGGGCCCAGATGGGATTGGTTCGGACAGTGGGTTGGACTGATCTTCCAGGTGAAGGTCTTGATCTTTTTGGGGAAGGTGGGGCCTGACTAATTGGAGGGGAGGTACATGTGCAGAGCCAGCTCCTCAGCCACTGTCCACCTTGCCAGCCCTGGAACAGGTGCCTCTTAAGCAGTTAATTCACTTAATTTTCACCACAATCTGAAATGGCAGATACTTTTTTGTCTCCTTTAACAGATGGGGAAAATGAGCAGCCAAGAGAGGGGTGAGGAGACTTTCCTAAGGCCACATAGATAGTTAAGTGGAAAATTGAGACTTGGCCCCAGCTGTGTTGGACTTTGGAGCCTGATCCTTTCCAGGACACTCTAGGGCTGGGAGAGATGGGCACAGACATAGAGGGAAATGCCTCATGCTTGCCAAAGATATGACAAATCTAGGCTGCTGTAGGAATAAACTTGGGCACGCTGTGTGCTGCTGGAACCTGGCACAGAGAGATTGACCTAGGAGGGCTTCCTGGAGGAAGGGACTGTCTCTTCCATTTTCCCACTCAATGCCCTTGTCTTTCTCACACCTGAATCCCTGCAGGCCTGGGGCGCTCCAAGGAAGCAGTAGCCCCTGCCCCTATCGGGGAGCTGGTCCCCAGCAGCTTCCTGGCAGCTGTGGTGGATGCATTGGACCTGGGCTCTCCAGCTGTTATCAGCCCATCGTTGAGTGGCATGTACTCCCTGCCCTTCCTCACGGCCCCTGGCTCCCAGCTCCGGGGCTATGTGCCAGTGGCCCCCATCTGCACTGACAAGATCAGTGCTGCGGACTATGCCAGTGTGAAGGTATCCCTGTGTGGGAGGCTGAGATGCCCCTGCCATGAGCAAGAAAGCGTCCATCCTGGGGCCTTTCCTCAACTCAGGGCAGAGTAACCAAGGGGTGGCTTCTGGGGGGAGCTAAACTACCAAACGCTGCCCTGTTGGTTTACTTAGCAGCAGATTACCGTGCCTTGGCCTGCGCTAAACCATGTGCTGGGGCAGACAAAAATCCATGCCTCTGTCCCTCAGGACTGGGGCCTCTTGGATCACCCACTGGGCCAGCTTGTCTCTCCCCCTCATTTGGGGTGGCCCCAGGGAGAGACTGAAGTGGTGGTAGCACTAGACCTGACCTCTAGGAGGTTGGGGCTGGTGTGGCAGATCCCTGTTTACTGTTTCCCTTTCGTTTCTCTAGACCTCAACTCTTATAGTATATGGAGACCAGGACCCCATGGGTCTGACCAGCTTTGAGCACCTGAAGCAGCTGCCCAACCACCGGGTGTTGGTCATGGAGGGGGCAGGGCACCCCTGCTACCTCGACAAACCTGAGGAGTGGCACACAGGGCTGCTGGATTTCCTGCAGGGGCTAGCATGAGACCCAGCCCTGCTGATGGGGCTGGCTGCTGGCCTGCCTTGGGCTCTCTCTGTCTCCTTTCTTCCTCCATGGGTTCCTGCTCATCATGTACATGCAACAGGTGTGTCTCTGTCTATCTGGGTTCTTGTCTCTAGGGTCTGTCTTTTCCTTTTCCTCTTCCTCTTTCTCTTGCAGTGACAGACTAAGGAGGTGAAACCAAGAGGAAAAACCTCAGGAAGCAAGAGACGTAATCTGGTGGAGGGTAATCCATTAGATGAGCTTCTCCTATAGGCTTTCCTGTTCGCTCACACCCCTTACTCTGCCCTGTGCAGCCTCCCCAGCCTGCCTCCCTCCTTTTCCTTCAGCTGCCCTCCAGGGCACTCAAACCTCCTACTCCTGCTTCTTAGACCACAGATACATCCATGCCCACATACATGCTTACACATTTAGAGCCATCCATGTTCCCAGATGTGACCCTTCACTTGGGAGCAACCACACAGGTACAGGCAACTCTGGACTGACATGCACACTGTCACCTACAGCTTTGCATTGCATGCATTCACACACATGCATTCTTGTGCTCTCACACAAGCATTCACATGGGCACATGCACCCTCCCAACCATGCAGAACCCCACTGTCCAGGAAGGTGGGGACCCTAGGGGCCAGCCCTTGCAGGAGGCCCTCTGCCAGGTTTAGGAGTGGCCAGCCCTGAACTCCATTCACCACAGGTTGCAGCTGGCCCCAGACCAGAGCTGCTGCCCAAAAGGTGAGGGCCACCCTTTGGAACCTCTGATATCCCTGCTTTTCCCCCTCTTTCTGCGTGCTCCACACCTCCCCAGGTTATTAGGCCGGGATCTGCTCAGCCAAGCTTGTTTCCTGCTCTGAGGTTTGGGGGTTGGGGAGACAGAGACTGGAGAGTGGAGGTCGGTGAAATAAAGTGATGCAATTAGACCCCGCAGGCTCTCACTGTCTCTGGAGCGCCGCTCCTCCCCCCCGCCCCTGGGGACCGGCACTGTGGGCCCTTCCCCCACCCTGGCGGGACCAGATGGTCCCCCTGCCCTTTGTCCACCCGGCCAGATGGAGGGGAAGGGAGATTGGATTCCCCTCCCCACCCACACACACACACACACACACACACACACACACACAGGTGCCAAGAGACTCAGCTGTGGGGGGAGGTGGAGGTCAGTGGGACCAGGCTGAGCCGATTACGGGGGGGGGGGGGGGGGGGGAGGTAGATCGGGTCCCTGGGGGGTACGGTGGGGGAAGGAGAGGGCTTGGGGACCGTCCAACTCCTCCCATTCTCTAGCAGAGTACACAACTGCGCCGCGGCCCTTGCGACCCTAGCCCCAAAAAGGCATTCTGGGGTAGCTTTGGGGGGAATGGCGGGGCGGGGTGCACGGGAATCACACCGCTCTCAGGCCCCTCCTCCAGCCGGTCCGGTAACCTGTCCGGGGCGGACAAGGGCCGGGCCTCGCGGAAGCTGTGGGTGGCTGAGGGGCGCGGGTCTTGGTGGACGAAAGCCCAGCGCGGGGATGGATGGCGCAAGAAGCGAGGAGAGCCGGGAACCGGGCCGGGCGGAGGGTCGAAGCCCGGGTTCCGAGAGATCCGAGCCGGAGCCGGGCAGCGCGGGGACTGGGGTGGAGCGGGGGGCTCGGCGGAGGCGCCGGGCGAGCGGCCCTGGCGGGCAGAGAGCGCAGGGGCTAGGGGCCCCGCGAGGCGCGGGGGGAGAGCGGCTGGGCGGGCGCTCGCGGCGCGACCCCCCCCTCCCTCCGGCCCCCCGCTCCCGGCGCCGGGACGAGCTGCCGAGGGAGGGTCGCCCCAGCCCTCCCGGAAACGGCCGCCGCTCGGGACGCACCGCGGCGCGCGGGGCGGGGCGGGCGGCTGCGGCACTGGGGCGGCTGGGGCGGGCCCGCCGCGCTGTAATCGGATCCGGGGAGGGGGCGGGGAGGGGCCGGGCCGGGCGGGCCGGGGGGGTGGGGGGGGCGCGGAGCCGGGCTCCGGGCCGGCCGGGCTCCGCGCCTGTCAAACCCCTCATTGTTCGCAGCTGATGTCACTCGCAGTTGTGAGCGGCCGCCTCTCCCGGGGACAATGTGGGACTGAGCGGCCCAGCCGCCGCGCCGCCGCCGCCGCCGCCGCCGCCGCCGCAGGACAGCCCCAGCGAGGTAGGGCGCGGGCCGGGCGGGGCACCGCCGGCCGCGAAGTTTGGGGGTTCGGCCGGGGGGCGGGGAGCCCGCGCCGGAGTCTACAGGCCAGGGTCCCGGTTTGGGAGACTGGGAGACTGAGAGGAACACGCTTCCCTGTCTCACACGGGCCCAGGCCTGCACAGGTGGGGGGCGCTGCTCGGCCAGAGGAGCCCCCAGCACCAGGGAGGGCCTTCCTGGACCCGAGACCCCAGATTTGAGGCCCACATCCCACCTGCTCTTCCTGTTCTTTGGACCCGCTCTTCTCTCGACCTCCTGCCTTGGGTTCTGGTTCTGCTCCATCTCTATCCCCATCTGCCATTCCCCTGCAGTTCCAGGCTCAGCACACACCCCTTCCCATTCTCTGCGGTCCTTGGTTAGGGGTGGGGGGGAGGCAGACGGACCTCCAGACCAGGGGTGTGTGGAGATGACAGTTGGGGGCTCAGAGTGGTCCCTCATGCTCTGTGGCTCTTAAGCCCCTCAGCTCTGACCTAGCTTCTAGCTGAAGTCCTGGGGGGCAAGGGGTGTCTCTGGTTATTCACTTTAGCCTGGCCCTCATGCCTGCCTGGCCAGGAGAGGGAGGTGCCCACCTCCTCACTCCCCTATCCCAGGCCCGCCATCTTGAGACCTGTGGCACCCAGTGCCCCGGCCGGCTCCAGCACCCTGGGGAGTGGTCTTCAAGGGGGTGCACCCAGGGCCAGCTGCATTTCCTCCTCCCAGAATGTGGGCTCTTGGTCCCCACCAAACCCACAATGTTTACCTTCATGCTGGACCAACAGGGCATGTGTCCCTAGGGGCCCTCCTTCTCCTACAAAGAGCTCTTAGACCCCAGGGACTCTCCAGGAGCTTAAATCTTAGCTCCAGCCTTCACTCTTTCCTGAGGTTACTCTCATTGCTTCAGGGCCAGCACCTGGGACCCTATCCTTTTCCCATCTGAAGGTCCCCTACTCTCTCTGGGCCCTGGAACCCCGTCAACCTCCAAAGCACCCCCATCCCAGCCCCCACCCCCCAGCCTTCATCAGCATGCAGGCTCAGACTGCCCAAACACAAGGGGATTGTTCTTCTTGCATGCTCAGGGTGGGGGGCTGGGAGCAGGCGGCCCACACACCCTGGCAGGCCCAGGCCACAGGGAGGCTGGCTTTGCCCCGCCCTGTGTCCCCAGACAGGCTCTGTCCACCCTCCCTACTCCCATCCCTGCCCCCCTGCAGCCTCCATCACCATTGCCCAGTGGCATTGACCTCTTGAGGAAAGAGCTCTGAGCGGCACAGGTGGACCCCTGGTTCTCCCAGCTCTGCCAGTTGCCTTTCATGTAGCCTTATAAACAAGCGCCTCCCTCTCTGGGCCTTGGGTTCCGACTTTGTGAAACCTATGCCACTCCCCAGCTCTTCTTCCAGCCTCGCTTCCACATGGGGAAACCCATTCCGGGCCCCTAGGAGTCTCAAAGCACAGCGCTAATCCCCTACCCCAGTGACATGCCCAGGGAGCCCATAGACCCAAAGAAACAGCAGGAGGAGAGGCTGAGGGTCCTGAGGAATGGAAACGGAATTCTGTCCAGGCAGATCCTGGCCCTCCCATGTGGCTGGTCCCCCGTGCCCTGGATCTTCTCACCCCCTCCTCACTGCTTCTCTGGGACCCCATCCTCAGCCCCATCTCTGGTCCCTAATGCCTCTAGTCCCTTCTCCCTGCACACACAGTCTGGTCCTGGCTCCTGCCCTCCTGAAGGAACTCCTACCATCCTGGGTAGTAGAAAGATAGGCTTGAAAATGCCCATTGGGGCTCCTTTGAGCTGAGTTGGGGCACAGAGGCCTGAGTGATTATATCTGACTTGGAAGGTTGGGGGGGCACTTCACAGGGGAGGTGGCATTTGAGAAGGATTTTGACAGAGTGAGGATGGGCATTTCAAGCTGGGATCAGCCCCGGCAAAGGCCCAGAGGCCTGGAGGTACTAGGCATGTTTTGCAGCCTGGTGTGTAGGGGGGAAGGAGTGGAGATGAGACAAGAGAAGCTGACAGGGGCCAGATCATAAAGGGTCTTGAGTGCCTGTCTGTGGTGATCAAGCTTTATTCCTTGGGTACTAGGGAGCCAAAGATGGCTGTTGAGCAGCAGCATGATCCAGTCTCCAGCATGGAAAATGGAAGCTAGAGACCTTTCTCAATTTGGGTAGGGCAGTGAGGGGATGGGTACCAGTCAGTGGGTGGGGCTGTACCAAGAAGTTGTGTCCTTTCTCTTGGAGCCCAGTCTGGCCTGGGCCTGCCTCAGTTTCCTTTGGCTGTGAGGACTCTTGAGGGGGTTGCTGAATGATGCTCTAAGGAGGCGGTGGCATTTCTGGCACCCGCCAACTTGTGAGAGCTTCCCTTTGCTGCTTAGCTCTGAGTCTACAGGACAGCCTTGGGCCAGCAAACCAGAGGGTGGAATTCATGGACCCCACGCTGCTCCCCTGAAGGCCTCTCCTCCCCCGACTCTCCCAAGAGGTGGTATGAATGGCCATCCTGGGAGGCTGTAAGGCTGAGAGGCTGGATGCACATGTCAGAGGATACTAGGGCATTTCTTGTGGAGGCCTGGGTAATCAGGAAGGGGGAGCATACCCAGAGAAGGGAACAGGCAAGGGAGTCAGGATCCCTCACTGCTGATCTCCCCATGTCCAGTGTCCACCTCCTGCCACACCCTGCTTCGTTTGATGTCCTGAGCCATTCCCCAGCATCACTGGGTGTGGCCAGCATGGCTGCTTTTGGATTAGGAGTAGGAGGCTGCTAGGTTGGAGCCTGATGGTGCTGAGGGGGATGTCAGGGGATATGAAGTGGGGGATGAACTTGGAGACTGCCCCCCCCCCACCTTCTCCCTAGCCCAGGTGGGTCTATAAGTCCTGGTTGGTCCAGACACTGGCTAACAGAGCCAAGGGAATCCCCCAAGGGGCGGGCCAGTCCACTTGAGTTGCCTGGCCCCAGGAGCCCTCCCCTCCCCCGGATTGTTCTTGCTCCAGAACAAAGCCAGGGTGGACACTTGATCCCTGCATGTGGGGGGGAGCTGGCTAAGCCCCCGGCCCTTTGATTGGGCAGCTGTCATGAGAGAGAGACAGCTGGGGGGGAGGGGCCGGAAGGGGCAGCCGCCATCGCTTACACAGCTGTCCCCCCCCCCCCCGCCCCCTCCAGCCTGAGTGGCAGGAAGCCAGGGACAGAAGGAGCGGGCACTGGGTCTGGGAAGGGGGCTTGGGGAGCAGGAGGGAACACCCGAGGTCAGAGGCAGAGGCCTGGTCTGAGCTTGGTATGTTCTGCCAGGGAGCCCTGCTGACCAGAGGGGGCTGGGCACCCCCAGAGGTGAGCTGGAGGTCAGTGTGGCATGACGTGTGGCTGCCGTGTGGGTGGCCCAGCAGGGACCCAGGGCCCACCAGCAAATGATTCCCTGAGAACTCTGGTGAGGGTAGAAGGGGAGCCAGCATGCCAAACAGGGCTGCTTGTTCTTAGGGCCCCTAGGAGAATATTTTGGGAGCCCTGTGTCAGGAACTGCTGTTCTCTCCTACAAACAGGAGAGATCTCGAGGGTCCCTCACGCAGAGAGACCAGCACTAGCACCACCCCCTCCAGTCCCGCACATACACATATAGCACAGGTGGGTAAACTGAGGTCTGGATCAGGTGAAGGCCTGGCCAAGGTCAACCCATGAAATTTGGGTCAGTGGGCTCTGCTGCAGACCCAGGTATCTTTTTCAGGGCAGGAACTCTAGTTCTGGCCACATTCTAGCCGCTTTGCCCTTTTTTCCTCGAGACTTATGACCCCCAAGGTGATGTGGCATTGGCCTGGGGACAGTGTCAGATCTTCCACTGGTTACCACTCCGGAGGAATCCCTGAGCCTCAGAATATTGTGGAGTTTAAGACCGTGGCTTTGGACAAGTTATCAGTCCTTTCCAAACATGACCCACATGTACTAGCCAGGCAGGGGTCTCCGGAGCTACTGAAGCCTGCTCCCCACCTTTGAAGAACCTCCCTCCAGGAAGAGGACGGACAGACCCAGCCAGGACAGCCAGAAAGCAGAGGCCGATGGGGCCTGCGATAGAGAGCCCCGTGCCAGCAGGTAGGACCATGCGGTCCACCATTCCCCACCTCTCTATGACCTTGGGCAGGTTATAGACCGTCTGTTGGCATCAGGTTCCCTTCTGTCTGGTGAATTCATCTGTTCAGCTAACCAGTATGTTCTGAACACCTTCTCCAGTCCGGCTCTGGCCTGAGCTCTGGGGACGCAAGGAGAAGGTGGCAGCCTTGGCTCCTGCTCTAAGGGGCTCCCAGGCTTGGCTGTCCAGGGAGACAGAACTAAGCACGTCATCACAAGTGCTTTGCTGGAGGAAGTGCACACAGCTGGGGAATGTTAGCAAGGGCAGCCAGCATGAGGCTGGCCAGGATGCTCAGAGGGCACAGTCCCTGTGTCCACTGTTGACCTCTGACCTCTGGAGAGCCCATGGGCAGAATTCAAGCAGAGGGAGGACCAGGTGCTGGGGGTACAAGTTACCGAGGGCTTGAGGGGACAGCGTTGTCACCCAATGGTACAGATGAAGGAACAAGCTTCATGCCATACAGTGGCTTCCTTGGGCTTCCTGAGCCTGAGAACATCCCCTTCCTACTCCATGCCCAAGCTCTGGCTAGCAAGGGGGTTCCAAAGAGGGGACTGGACAGTGCTCCACGCCCTTGACCTTCATTTCAGGATAGGGCAGGGGGCTGAGGAAGAAGGTGCCCAGAGGTCTCCAGAGTGCTCTAGGCAGGCACACACATCCTTGGCTCCCACACCCTCCTGGACAGAAGGAATTTGCGGGATTAGGGCTTGGCCTTGGCTTAGTTTTGGCACCAGTTGGTCCCACTCCATTCTCCTTCTTGGGTTCTGGTCCCCCAGTTAGCCCCCCATCAAAGCTGAGCCTTGGTGGGAGACAGCCCCTGGAGGAGAGGGATTTCCAAGCAGGATTAAGGTTCAGGATTAAGTTGGGGCATGAAAAGGGGTCGGGTAGGGAGGGCTGGCTGGCTGCCGGGCTAATCCCAGAAACTAATCTCTGGCTCCTCCTTCCTCTGTCAGTTAACGGCCTTGACATTTCCCAGCCCCCAAATCCCTTTCTTACCCATCACCCAGTCCCTAGGGGAAGCATTCTCTCCATTTTATAGGTGAGGAAATTGAGGCCGGGGGCCCAGTGACTTTTGTTTCCGGTACAGGAGAAAGCGTCCCAGGCTGGGAATGCGGCCACTTCTTAGCGCCACAGCACACGGGAGAGCAGGCTGCTGGTCTCCCCCGACACCAGCCCCCTTGCCCCGTGTGCTGAATGAACCCT